GCCAAAGCATGGTTAAGTGTGACTCCCGAAACAATTTCCAACTGCTTCCATAAGGCTGGTGTCAAGTTTGTAGAAGACAAGAATGTTGAACAGAACATTTGGTGGAGCCTAATTACTGGTCAGTGATGGCAGGATCTTCATTTGAAGATTATGTAAATGTTGATGCTGAAATTATGACTTCAGTATTGCCTACTGTGGAGGAGATAATTTCCAACCACCTGGAACAAGAAGTTAGCGAAGACACAGATCCAGAACCTGTTGTCCCTACAATTGACAAAGCTATGGATGCAATCACTACTTTGAGAAAATTCATTGAGAGCAGATCAGGTGGCGAGGATGCATTCAAAGCATTGTATATAGTAGAGAGGCAGGTAGCAGAAATTCACTTACAGAAAAAATAAAAACAAATGACAATTTTAGATTTTTTAAAATAGTTTAAGTGTAATTTGTAAATTATTAAAAGTGTAATATGAGTAATTTAATTGTGTAAACAAGTCCTTGTAATAAATAATGTAAGTACACACTTAGCGTATCGTTTTTTAACTTTCCTGCATTTTACGCCTTTTTTCATTGGTCCCCTAAAAAGTGTAAAAAGGCGTTTTACTATATATGTTAAACTTATTGCCACATGCAACTCCTGCCATTTATAAGCACACTGTAACACTATCAAGAAATGCATCCCAACTTTGGTTCTTATTTATGTTATAGGGCTTGACTCATTTATCGCTATTCTGGTAAAAACGAAAATTTAACAGAAATAGCCTTTTTTATTTCAAGTCTTCAAATGTTTAAGCACTCGCCTAATACCTCTTAAATATGACTTTTCTGATGAGGACTAAATCTATCACAAATCAAAATTTGTATCCCAAACTACATCAGTAACAATAATTATTACTTAAGGGCAAGTAAATTCCCGAATAGTTAGTAAGATTTATTTTAAAAAAACACATCTCTACGGCCAGTTGTACTCTTTGCACATCATTATGAATCAAACGTGATTAAATAAACATAATCAGTGGATTAGTCTTTTGTTCAGAATGGAATTTAAAATTCAATGAAATTAAACTTCAAGATGAAACCATACTTACTTGAATTTTGTGATTCTAGTAGAAGGCAATAACTTCCAATTGAGGCCATCTACAAGAAGATCAGTCAAAGCACCTGCAACTGCACGTGCAGGAGGAGAAGGGACTAATGGTGTGCTGGTAGTGAGTTGTTGGCCACGCCTCTGTCTCATAGGAGAACCCACACACAACTACAAAAAAGGAAAATACCAACAGTAACAGATAAGAATGTGAGAAGAAAGAACAAAAGAATAACTGCAACATAAATACATACTTTGACAAGCAATCCAAACAGTTCAGCAAGTGCTCGTCCAAGACGAGAGGATGCTCCAAGTAAAGGCCTGATGTATTTCAGCTGAATCGCTGATGGTAACTGACGACTTCCTTCCTTTGTTTTGTAACCACATTCCTCAACAATGACCTGTATGTCATCATCAGTGTTCATTGCTTCTACAGATGTACTACTGCTACCAGCTTCATTTGGAGTACTGCGCCATGGGGCATCATCACTCTTCACAAGAAATAGTTCAATTAAAGAGAAACTCAAATGTACATAAGCATATTACACCTATCTTACTAGCTCTTCACCTAACACTTGCAATTTAACTCAAAGTTGCACAAAAACTATTTTCTCATAGTTACACAAAATCCAAAACTTTAGAAAGAAATGTACTAAAGTTGGGAAAAAACAATAATAGTTACATGACATAGGTACATGACATATTTACATGTTACGTAGTTACATATTACATGACATAGTTACTGACATAGGTAACTATCAGCAATTGTTGCTAAGTAATCCTGCTTTATAATTTGGTATATATAAAAAAACCTTATTGAATAAAATATGATACAAGCTGTTGTTGTACAACTCTTGTTTTAATTTCATAATTGTAGCAAATGATAGAAGAGTTAAATATTTTTGAAATAAGTGCACATGAAATGATTAAAGATCTAATATTCAGCAACAGATTGCATGATATAAGAAACAAATATCTAATTTCAATATTGGAGGTGTTTAAAAAAAATTGAACAAGAGCAATTTTTGCAATTACAGAGGTATTAAATCAGAATCTAACGTGCTGTAGTACTAAGTGAACTTTGCTCTATTCAAGCCAAAAAAGTCAAGAAAAAATATGGGACCAATTTGGAGAAATTTCAACATATCGTGTTGTTATCTGTAAAGTATTGAATATGAAAACGCACAACTTTATAGAAGTCACAATTAATTGGATCGAACATCAATAAAATAAAAAATTTAACATTTTACAGCAAGAATCAGCAGGAATCTTTCTAAAATGTAAACATGTTCCAAGTGATTCTCAGGATCTCTTTTGAAGCAACAGCGTAATTATGAAAATGTGAAAACGGTTTTTGAACGTTCATTACTTCAAATTTTCATTTCATACCCAATTAGGTTACAATGCATTCTTTTAAAGAACTGTTCCGGACATTAAAGTATCTAATTCAGATTAGATTTCATTCAGAAAAAAATGTCTGTCCTCACCAACATAGTTATATAAGAAGAAAACCAAAAGATTTTCACTCTTATTAGTTTTCCAAATTTCAGAAGATTCACAAAAAAAACAGAAGAATTATGAAGAAACCGTTGAAAAGTCTCAGGCGGGACAGATAAGAGGGTCATCCATGTGACAGAGAGTGGAGACAGAGAGACAGACAGACAGACAGACAGACAGACAGACAGACAGAGAGAGAGACAGAGAGAGAGACAGAGAGAG